AACCACGCCTAGGCACTACCCTGATATTGATGACGTGTGTCCCCCCTCTCATCCTCTTCCTCCTGCTGTAAGAGCATCATCATCATCATCAGCATCATCATAAACATCGCCGTCGTCGTCATCGTCATCGTCAGCAGTATCATAATCTATGTCGTCATCGTCGTCAGCAGCAGCATCGGCGTCATGATCAACATCAGAAGCATCAATATCAGCATCGGCCGTTGCTCAATCATAGTCACCGATCATCATCATGATCATCATTATCATCAGCAGCAGCATCAACAGTAGTAGTAGCAGCAGCAGCATCATCAGCATCATCATCATTAGCAGCATCATCAGCATCATCAGCATCGTCATCATCAGCACCATCATTAGTGTCGCCGTCTTCTACAACAACCATGGATCATGATCAGTCCTCGCCATCAGATCGTGTGTCGTGATTATGGCTTCTTTCGTACTCATCATCCGCATCATCATCATAGTCCAGCGTATCGTCCCCTTCCTGCCCTCTTGATTCGCTGTTCCCTCGACCTCCTCCCTCCAAAGCTCCACAAGTGGCCCCCTCCCTGCCTCCGCCCCAGCCTGCGCCTCCTCAACCTCCTCCTCCTCTCCCTCCTCCTCGCCCTGGCCCTTCCCTTCCCCATCCCCGAGCGCGGTGTGGGCAGACAAGGCGACAGCCACTAGGGCTAGTACGCTGAGTGGGCCTCGTAAGCGTACAAGCCCGTCAATACCTCCACTTCTGCTCTGGCAGTGCGGGTGCTCTGAACAGGAGAGCCAGGAAGTCACGGCGCACAACATCACGGAGGCACAACTGTGCTTGGAAGCGCTGACTCCGCATATAATGACGAATGACCCTTGCATGTAACTAGCAATTGCTCGAAACCTCAATCTGATTTCATGTTTCTTGCCAGTCGGGCTTGCTAGTCGGGAAACGGACGCGAGCACTAGACGCATGATACAGGCTTCAACAATCTGCTCAGATGCCTCCGAAGAGAAGTCCATGACTGATCTCAAGGGGGTCATGCAATTACTCGTGTGCTTGCTATGCGCGACAATGCTTCACACGATCGATGCTGACTTGGGGCGCACTCGTCGAAGAAGCAAGCGCCTCAATGACACATGATGCCAACGCGAGTAATCGCGTACTATAACAGACTTGCGCTGCATTCGGTTGAAAGAAAACTCCCTCCGACTGCCCTGCCACCCCGAAGACGGCCGCGAACTTCACAATGAGCATCGGCAGGTGATCGCCTCAGGGCGCTGGTGGGCTGACTACGGCGGGTTCTTGTCGTGGCCACTTGCACGTTGGCTCTCGGCAGCGCGGGGAACGTTCCACCTTGAACGCTCGGCGGCTTCTCGCTTGCCAGATCGTTTTGTGTGGGCAGATTCCAGGCCGCTGGAGGCGCTCAGCCCTTGTTGGCATCGTCGCCGCGCCGACGCGACACGAACCCACCGCACACAGACTGCGCATAGGAAGGGACAAAGAGGCTCGGACGCGCCACGCGGGCCCTGCGACGGCCGATGAGCCGCTGCCTCCCTGCGCGCCGATCCAGGCCCGAGAAGTCGAGAGGAAAACGCGTCGCATGTAACAGCCCGCCTGGCGGCGGTCGAAAGGTCGCCGCACAGAATGCCGCAAGCAACTGGATATACGCCAAGGTCTGCCATGGCAACCGACGACGCGGAAAGACCCCTGCCGCCCCCTTCCACAGGAGCCGCATGGTGGATACAACCCGCTGGAGGAACCGTTGCCTATGCGTGGCCGTCCTCCCCCAGCAAGCCCCCGACTGCAAGCCCTGCTCGCCCCAAATGCTCAACTACTACTACTACTACTGCTACTGCTACTGCTACTGTTACTACTACTACTACTACTACTACTACTACTACTACTACTACTACTACTACTACTACTACTGCTGCTACTGCTACTGCTACTGCTACTGCTACTGCTACTGCTACTACTACTACTACTACTACTACTACTACTACTACTACTACTACTACTACTACTACTACTACTACTACTACTACTACTACTACTACTACTACTACTACTACTACTACTACTACTACTACTACTACTACTACTACTACTACTACTACTACTACTACTACTACCACTACTACTACTACTACTACTACTACTACTACTACTACTACTACTACTACTACTACTACTACTACTACTACTACTACTACTACTACTACTACTACTACTACTACTACTACTACTACTACTACTACTACTACTACTACTACTACTACTACTACTACTACTACTACTACTACTACTACTGCTGCTGCTGCTGCTGCTGCTGCTGCTGCTGCTTCTATCACTACTACTAGCATGTTTTACTACTACTACTACTACTACTACTACTACTACTACTACTACTACTACTACTACTACTACTACTACTAATACTACTACTACTACTACTACTACTACTACTACTACTACTAGTACTAGTACTACTACTACTACAACGACAACGACAACTACTACTACTACTACTACTACTACGACGACGGGTTTCTTGGATCATGAGACTTTCACTGAGCACCGTGGAATAGAAACCAAACGACACCACCCTTCCTACGAATGTGAAATGTGTTCGGCACCTGCCCCGTGCCATCTCGGTGTTTCACCACGTAGACTGAGGCAGCTCCGACACGAGTACGCGACAAGGTCGCAAACAAATCGGCATGATGGGTCGCAGGTGGGGTGGTGCCGATTGGCTCTTGGTCGACGTGGGCCTGCCTGAGGTGCATGTCCTCCTACAGGCGGATTCTGGACGAAAAGAAAACAGTCGGAAAATCGTCCCCTGACATTATTTTCCCCAATCAGTGCTTGCACTGAAGGGGTCCTAGCGGAAAGTGAAAGATTTGGCGGGATATTCCCGCCCATGTTGGTAGCAAACTGGGTTCCCAATTTCCCGGTTCCGGGTTCCCAGGTTACCGGGTCTTGGTTCCGGGCCGATTTCGGTGGGTTCTGGGTTCCCGGGCTCCTGGGTTCCCGGTCGATCTCCTCAGCGGAAACCATCCACTGATTGGGTTTTTCCCTTGGTGTCATTTTTTGACTATTTCTGAAAACTCCTCCCGTAGAGGGGCGTGCCCGACTTACAGTCGAGGCGTTGACCTAAGGAACCTTAAATAAGGAACGAGGCCTTTTTTTCCCATAAGTTCAACCTCGATTTCATATGGAAGCCCTTAATCAGGAAAACCCGAGGCAAACTTTGAAACAATCAGGGAACACCGAGCTCCTCCCCAACGAACAGGGTTCCTTCTTGTCAGCGCCCCGGCTGTGCGCCCTTCCCTCGGCGCGCCGTCCGCCCGCGCCCCGCCGGACACCAAAGGGGGAGCAAGAAGGCCACGGGCAGCCCCCACCCCAGAGCGGCGCCGCACGACACCGGAAAAGCGCAGGGGGGCTCCACCTCCGAGCGGCAGCAGAGGAGGAGGGAGGAGGAGGAGGGGAGGAGGAGGAGGAGGAGGAGGAGGAGGAGGAGGAGGAGGAGGGGAGCAGGGACAAGCAAGGTGCGCTCGCGCCACATCTGACATCCTGACCCCGCCCATCCCATCCCGCGGCACGGATGTTCCTCTGCCCGCTGACGCGCCCCATGGCGAAGCTGAAACTCCAGAGCTGGTCCGTGACATCGTGACAGGCGCAGTCAGATAATGGAAGCTGTGAGAGAGAGATGCAATCGTATCTAGGACAGAAGAACATCCCTCAAGAGCATGAGACCCTCCACCGGCCAAAACACACAGATCAGCCAAAGGTGCCTTCTCCCAGGAATTCGCGAGAGCGTCCAACAAGCACCAAGAACACTAGGGTGTCGGTCCGACCGTACAGAGAGGTAAATGAGAGAGAGAGAGAGAAAGAAAGAGAGAGAGAGAGAGAGAAAGAGGAAGGGAAAGGAGATGGAGGGGGGGGGGGGGGGAAAGGCGGTAGTAGGGACAGGGGCAGGAACAAAAGCGCGACCGGAGACAGGGTCAGGGAAGGACGGAGAGCGGGAGCGGGCAGCCACAGCGGGAGCAGCAGCGGTAGCAGGAGAGGAAGCAGAAGGACAGGCGGGGACAGAATCCAGAGCAGAGGGGGGAGGAAAGAGGGAGGGTAGAGGAAAAGAGAGACGAGCGGATCAAGCTTCCAAGATGAAGCGTCGACCTTGAGGCCCGCGTGCTGAGCTCCGCACGACGAAGCTGAAACGCTCCACCCGAAACGGAGAGCCAACACTATGAAAGCATTCCTGTCGAGACATGACCCCAACATCTGCCGTTTGCTTGGCCCTGGCGTCGAGACTCTCCCACTGCACATTGAACAGTGTTGAGCCATGCCAAGCAGTCGCTGGCGCCACGTCGGCAGAGCACGCGTGAGACTGTGGGATGAGGCCACCGGACCGTCACTGCGATGCGCAGGCTCTCCGCAGCTCAGGAAGCGTGGAACGGCTTTGGGTTGCGCGCAGGCAGCCCCGAAAGAGAGAGTCCTGGCTGGCCTCGACGGGCCCCCAGGAGAGCCCAGGGCAGTCGAGACACCCAAATCCCGGAACGCGGAGCGCTTTCTGAGTGTTGACTCCGCCCGCGGACCCATACTCTTGAGACCTGTTGACGCCAGCCAGGACCTCGAGAAGCTGTCTGTGCGCAACCCCTTCAAAGCTAGGGAACCCACAAAAGACGTACGCGCCCAACCATGTACAAAACACAGCCCCCCAATCCGCGAGACCAGCCTCGTTTTCCGAACCTTCACGCGATGCGTAATTTCGAAACAAGCGTGGATTCATGTACGTGTACGTCACTCTGTCGCTCCTGACAAGCGTGATCCCAGCAGAAACTGCCGAGACGCCTGACCCCGTCTGCATGCAAGATGTTCCAAGCCAACTCGGTCCACGAGGGCTCCGAGGACCGAAACTGGGCGTCAACGCCTGTCGCGACACTCGCCACGAAGCCACACTCTGAGACGAGGAGGGCGCACGCGCCCCTCGTCGACGGCGCGCCCAGGTGGAGCGCGAGGAGGACAGAGGCAGGTCTTCTCGGAGAGAGCCCTGCGGCCTGCTGCTTATCATCCTCTTGCTCCTCCTCCTCCTCCTCCTCCTCCTCTGACCTGGGAGGAGGTCGAAAGACCTCCTGAGGCTTCTGAGAAGGCCAGCCCCCTTGTGCCTTCTCCTCTGGGTGCGCCGCCAGCTGGGAGGAGGAGGAGGAGGAGGAGGAGGAGGAGGAGGGAAGGGGGGGAGGAGGAGGAGGAGGAGGGGGGGGAGGGGGAGGAGGAGGGGGGGGAGGGGGAGGGGGAGGAGGAGGAAGAGGAGGAGGAGGAGGAGGAGGAGGAGCAGGAGGAGCAGACTCCGAGTGCACGAGACCCTCCGCCGGCCGAACTGCCGAACCCTCGAGGGTGCGCGCTCTCCCCCCCGGGAGGCACGAGAGCACCCCACGGGCACGACGAGCATCGGGGCACCCCCCCCTTTGGACGCCCGAGATGGGTACGGGAAGAATGGGCACAATGCCCAACAACAAATGTTGTCCTAAATTAGCAGCGGCCGCTGTTGGGCAGGCGGCCTTCTGTCCCGAATGGGCACAGGCCGCGGCGGCGTGGACAGCGAATCCTCTTCAAAATGAACAGGCACTGCTGTTGGGCATTGTGCCCATTCTTTCCGTACCCATTTCGGGCGTCCAGATTCCCGAACCGACCTCTCGACCTCGTGCCTCTCTCCCGGCCGCACTCGCGGTTCTCCCCGCGGGGGCCGAGGAGGCCGCAGAGGGTGTGGTCCTCCGGGTGGTGCGGCGCCGCTGCCCTCAGGGACACGGCCAGCCCCAGCAGCGTCACCTCGCCATCGCTCGGACGTCCATTTCCCGCGCATGTTTCGGTCTCGTGCGTGTTTTTTTTTGCTCGATGGTCCAGGATCGTCCTCAATGGTTCTCGCCGAGAAAAAATGCACACGTCCGAGCGATGCCAGGTCACCAGCACGGGCACCGGGGGCGCCTCCCACCAGAAGGCGAACATCACGGAGGCGATGAAGAACAGGAGCAGCGGGGCGCCCACGTCCCCGACGAGCGTGCGGAACTCCTGCGTCGAGGGGGGGGGTCCGCGGCGGCACGAGCAGGGGCCTTCGGGGGACTGCGCGGAGGTCCTGGGTCGGCGCCGAGCTTCCCCCCCCACCTGGCGGCAGGGGGGCACTGGGGGAGACAAAAAAGACTCGGTTTACGCCGCCTCGGGGAGCCCATCAGCGCGTTATACTGCGTTGAACAAGCACCAGGCCTTCTGACAAAACAACAAAACATGAGGAGGAGTGACACGCTGACGGGCACCCTAACGGCGGCGTGCCATCACCGATCCACCTTAGCGGTCCAGCGCCACATCGACAAGTTGTGTAAGCCATCCGACAAGTCGTGTAGGCCTCTGCGCGACCTGTCGGATGCCCGCGCGGATTGTGATTTGAGTCCGAGTAGATGCAGCGCAGATGCAACGCAGAAGCATCGGCAATGCGGCGCGATTCTCTGACCCCATATACTCGCACCCGGTGTCGTTATTTCTTCTGTCGCAAAGTGGTCTCACAAAATCTCGACCCACTCCCCAGGACCAGGTCATCATCCAAAGTCGTGTCGACGACCCGCGGGCGCGTGAAGGGTCCCTGGAGTCCCACAATCGCCACAAACCTCCGTCGTGATCTTCGGCATGGCCCGACGGGGTCTGGATAAATCGTGCCCGTGCACGGCCTCGCTGCCCCCCGTCTTTTTGGACGCCCGACATGAGTACGGGACAATTGTGCGATGATGCCCAACAACAAATGATGTCCAACACTGACGGCGGCCGCCCTTGGGCAGGCGGCCTTATGTCTAGCACGGACAACGTCCGCGGCGATACCGACGGCGAGTCCTGCGTAAAACGAGCACTGCTAACAAGAAATGCTGTCGGTGTCTGTGCCCATTCCTTCCGTACCCTTTTCGATCGCCCCGAATCTGGGGAAACCAACAGGTGCCGATGCCGCTACTCCCCGGACCTCTCCCGGGGTGCGTCCTGACCAGAAGTTCGAGGCGAATCCAGCCGTGGCGACGATGGCCTCTCAGGAGGGCTGGAAAAGGGAGCTCCCACGAGGGAAGGGTAGCGGTATGGGTACAGGCAAGACTCCATCCCCGCCCGCAAACCGTCTCGCTCACTCCCACCCGCCCTCCCAACACAGACGTAGCACCCGAGCCTGGCCCGAGCCGCAACATTCTCAGCAGTCGTCTGTGGATGGGCAGCTACTGGGGGCGAATCCGCCGCCGCCGCCGCCTCCGCCGCCACACACAAGAAACCTTCCACAAGAAATCCAACCCTGAGACCCCAGGACGTCCACCGGCTTTTGGTGCGGGAACGTCGCGCTCTCCACCGCATAACCATCGAAACCCAAGCAGCCCAGGGCACCATGGGGGCAAGCAGGGTGTTTCTTGGCGTCTGGTCTCCACAATCTGCCTCCTGCATCCTCGGACACGCCTCCCGTTCCCGTTTCGATCCTCCCGGGTCCTGGGCCCGCCCCCGCGGCCAGGCCCGCCTCTTGTGCGCCTGGTCCAGCGACGGCCGGGCGGGGAGTCGTGGGGGGCCGACCCCAACGGGGGGGGAAGACAAGGGCCCGCAAGGGGCACGGTTGAAGGGGCCCAGGGGCACACAAATGAAGAGACACACATGAAAGGATTCCCCATGTTTTCCAATTTGTTCTGGGTTTGTTTTGTCCCCCCCCCCCCCACTGCCCATATTTTCCAACCTTTTCCTGGGAATCAGCGATTCACTGTGGCTGTCGGTGTTTTCCCTCCTGAAAAGAGGGCCCGCAAAGGGGCACCGTTTTTCTGGGCCCCCCGTGGGGCCCCCGCTGGCTCCGAGAGGGGCCCCCGAGTGCCCCTCGAGGGCCCTCGTCTTCGCCTCCCATTCGGGTGTCGGTCGGGCATGTCCTCCTGCAGGTGGCTTCTCTTGTGGGAAGACCGAACAACTACTCAGAAAGCTACGCCAAAAAACTGCAATCCCAGCAAAAACACCAAAACAAGATGTCGTCTCCAGACAGTCTCTCGGCTCTGTCTGAAGCTTCCTGCAGGGGGGACCCTGCCCGACTCCACATCACCACCCGCCCGAGACGGGGCGGCGCCGTAGCTCCGCCACTGCGGGGGGCCCGCCTCTTGAGCAGGGACCGACCGTCCTGGCATTCCTATAGTCCTACCACGACATGTTCTCAGAACCCAGAGATGTTCTAAGAACGAACACAAGGTTCTTAGAGCATTCACCCGGTGTGTTAAACCAAGACAGTCTTAATCAGAGATGCTCTAAGAACATTTCGCGGGAACCACAAAACTCGCCATCGCTCGGACGTCCATTCCCTGTGTTTTTTTTCAGCTTCGTGCGTCGTCTTGTTCGCCAAATGATCAAGGATGCTCCTCGATGGTCCCCACCGAGGAAAAAAGACACACGCCCAAGCGATGCCAAGAAAAGGCTCTTAGAACACTGTTTGGTAGGGCTACAGCCGGGGCCCTGAAGAAGAAACCCTTTTCGTTGGGGAGGGGCTCGGTGTTCCTTGCTTGTTCGACAGCTTGCCCTCTGTTTTCCCGAAGCTTTCCATGGGAAATCGAAGTTCAACTCATGGGAGAAAGGGGCCCAGCTCCTCATTGAGGGTTCCTTAGGTCAACGCCCCGACTGTAGGCCGTCTTGGGACGATCTTGGGTGCCACTTGGGCCGTCGTGTTCTCTGCCAAAACGTAACATGCGAACGTGCTGAATCTGTACGTTTCTTCCGGGGAGCGAAACGATTCGGGCCTCTCGGGGGACCTCTCGGCGATCCTTGGGAGGCGCTTTTGGGCTGTCTTGAGGTCCTCGTGGGCTCTTGGAACACTGCTTGGCAGGGCTGTGTCAGGGGGGCGTAAGACCCGGGTACAGGGGACTCGGAAATCCCTGACGAGGCCGTCAAAAAAATGACGAGGCCGAGCCTGCATTTTGACGAGGCCTCCCGCTGCAGACATCCAACGAAACTCCTACTCGTCAAAATCCGAGTCGCGGTCGTCAAAAAACGATGGCGAACCCGAGTCCTGGCAAACCCGGGTCTTACGCTCCCCCGACTGTGGGCGAGCCAGGACGCTCCGCCGCTGCGGGGGGCCCGCCTCGCCGCCGAGGCGCGTGGCCTCGTCCGGCGCCCTCGGCGCGCCGCCGCCCGCAGAGGCCGGCGGCGCCGGGGGCCGCTCGTCGGGCGCGGGGGGCGGCGGGCGCACGGGCCCGGGTGCTGCCAGGGCATCGGGGAGGCGCACCGTCGGGCCGTATCTCGGGTCGGGCGAAAGGGGGGGATAGTAACGGGGGGGGGGTGAGAATCAGCTCACGTAGCTGATCTTCCCGGCGCCTCCCGGCGCCGGAGGCGGCCACGTATCGAGGAATGGGCCCTTCGGCGGGGCCGAAACCAGCTGCATGCAGCAAATTTCGTAACCCCCCCTTTCCCAATCCCCCCCTTTCGCCCAGCCCGAGTATCGGGGATGGACGGACCCCCCTTTTAGTAAAACGTGGTTCAGTGAGAACGACCCGAGGCCCAAACCTGGCGGGCGCAAGCCCGGAAGATAACGGCCACGGCGCCCCCTCGAGAACCGAAAACGGACAATTCACTAATCGACGTGTCACTGTTGGGGGTTCTGTCCACCCCCGACCGTATCATACAGAAGGGTGCGCGATTGGCGGCGCACAAAAGGGGGGTATGGGGGAGGGGGGAAGGCTTCTTAGAAGCACCCTGCTTCTTAGAAGGCCTCGGCCTTACGTCTATAGAGAAGGCCCGCGCCTTCTAAGAAGCAGGGGCGGCGGGAGCACGGGCCGGGTGCTGCCAGGGCATCTGGGAGACGCGCAGTCGGGCCGTAGCATACAGATCGGCTGCACGCAAGACTGACCCTGGGCAAGAGTGACCTCTGGTGCGCGGCTTTTGGGGGCCGCGGGGTGGCCAAACACAAGCGCGCAAGACGCCACTGCCGCCTCGAGATCAGCGATCGGGGGGCCCCATTGGGCCCGCACCAAAGGTCACTCCGGCGAAAGATCACTCTTACGTCGAATCGAACAGAAGGGTGCGCGATGAGGATGCAATGGCCCTGGACGCCCACGTCGAAGCCTCTCGAGCGGGGCGAGGCTAGCGAGCGGCGGAGGACGGGCCGAGGGGGCAAGGATGCAAGGGTACCCTTGGGAAGGTTGCCGATCCTTGCTATGCGGCTCGGGCTCGGGTTCGGGGGGCCCGGGTTTTCTCTTTCAACGTATCAGAGCTCGGTGGCAACTCATGGGAGCCGCATGCATACCGTCTTGTCGGCTACTGCGAATCGACGCCAGTCGACGCGAAATCGACGCTAATCGACACTAGCTGACACTAAATCGGAGCTGCCCATCGGTCGGAAGAAGTAGGTAGAAACATGAAATAGGAAGGCGCTGAAAGTAGATTGGGTGTCCGCCCGCCCCCCTAAGAGAACGGAAAAGGTGAAGCAACTCGATCATTGAAGCAGGAAGGCGCTTAACGTATATTGGGATATGGGCATGACCAATGGTAAGTCGGGTAAATCGATGGGTAAATCGACGATAATGGACGCTGACCAATGGTAAGTCGGCACGATCTCGCGACTCCCAAACGCTCATCGCCGCTCCTCGACGCGAAAAAGACGGAACTGCAAGGACCTACGAGGCTCCCGTGAGATTTGCCGCCGAGGGGCGGCGGGTGCACGGGCCAGACGCTGCCAGAGCAGAGGGGAGAAGTGAGGCCAGGTCGGGCATGTCCTGCTACCGGCGGATTTGGGAGCAACGCAGAAGAATCCAAAACTACTCAAAAAAAAGCCAGGGCTCGTCAAAACATCGTCCCCAGGCTAACGTTTGACTAGTTTTGAGCTTTCCTCCTGTAGAGGGACATGCCCGACTGCACCCCCAAGAGGGCCCAAATCGTCAAATTCCAACATGAAAACGTACATGCTTCGCATGTCTAAGTTCTCGACGTTCACGATATCCAAAACGAGCCAAGGGGCCCCCAAGAGAGCCCCAAGACGGCTCAAGAGGCCCCATGAGATGCCCCCAGGAGGCCCCACGAGGGCCCCAAGACGGCTCAAGAGGCGCCCAGGACGGCCCAAGAGAGCTGCAAGACGGCCCCAAGAGGGGCCCAAGAGGGGGAGCCCGAACCGACAATTCGAGACTTCCGCCCCAAGATGCCCCCGGGAGGCCCCAAGAGGCCCCCGTGAGGCCTCCCAGAAGCCCCGCAGAGGCTCCCAAAACGCCCCAAGAGGTCTCAAAACGTCCCCCAAGAGCTTCACAACTGCCTCCAAGAGGCCCCCCACGATATCCCAACGAACATCCCAGAGGCCTATCACCCATGACCCAGGCATGGAGGCGGGATGGGCCGAACGCTATTAGGTAATGCCCGCAGGGCCCCAGCTCAGCTCCCCCCCAACAGAAAGAAACATAATCGCCAAGAGAACTCAATGACAACTTAACGTTACCCCCAGAACGACCAAGGTGATTTGCACGTCCGTGAATCCGCCAGGAGCGTCCAGGATCGGCGACACAGGCCGAAGACCACTACGATAACTCCTTCCTGTCGCACCCCTAGTCGTGTTGGCTGTTGGCAGGGCGGGCGGGACGTTTCGCCTGAAACTTCCTCGCCACGTATGATCCTGAAACTTAGAACTTGCAACCGTTTCACTGATGGTGGGCAGGCCGCTTATAACGCCTGGCTCTCGCTGAAGTGCCGCGCACATGCGTCTTAAACATTTGCAACAACTGTACGGCTGGCAAGGGTGTGGTTTTCAGATGTGGTTCTCGCTTAGTGCCGCGCACAATCGTCTTTCCAAAGTGTGGCTCTCGCCTTAGCGCCGCGCACAGTGGTCTTGTAAGTTCGCAGTAGTTTCAAGGGTTCGTGTTGCCAACACCCAGGAATTGGGTTCAGGCACGAGTTCGGACTGCCAGGAGCCACGCTGATCTGCTGCATTCTGATGACAAGAGCTGCTTCATGGCACGATTGAATATTCTCAGACGGCTGTCTTCTATGAAGAGGGAGCTTGGAGGGAGGGTGTATTGAAACATCGTTGATGCATACTGGGTTTCTATGTGTCCTCCTCCTGCTCCTCTCTTCCTCCTCCCGTCCCTCCTCATCATCCTCCGACGTCTCTTCCTCCTCCTTCCTGCAAGCACCCCTGCCCGCTCCCACTTTGGTGCTGAAACCAGCGCCTCGATCGAGACATCCTCACAATCTGCTCCGAGTGCAAGCAAGCCCAAACCACCAAGCAGGCAAACCGCCTGAAACATCCCCACTTTCGGGATGCGATCGGGCGACTGAAACCACCCCTGGCGGCTTCGTCTTGAGACGCTGCGACAAGCAGAGCGCTTGAGACGTCCTAACGATCTGCTCCGAAAGCAAACAGTCCAAGCCACCAAACAGGCAAAGCGCCTGAAACATCCTCACCATCTGGATGCGATCGAGCAAATGAAACCACCCCTGGCGGCTCCGGGCGCTGCGCAACCAGCAAAGTGCCTGAGATATCCTCACGATCTGTTCCGAAAACAAACAGGTCCGAGACACCAAACAGGCAAGCCGACTGAGACCTCCCCACAATCGGAATGCGATCGGGGGAATGAAGCCACCCATGGCGGCTCCCACTTAATCGCTGCAACCAGCAAAGCGCCTGAGACAGCTTCACAATCTGCTCCGACAGTAGACAGGTCCAAACCACCAAATAGGCAAACCGCCAGAGACATCGCCCCAATATGAGTGCGAGTGGGGGAATGAAACCACCCCAGGCGGCTCCCCCTTGGGGTGCTGAAACCGGCAAGTCGCCTGCGGCATCCCCACAATCTGCTCCGAAAGCAAAAACGGCAGGCCACCAAACCGGTAAACCGCCTGAGGCATCCCCACAATCTAGATGCGAACGGGGGAGTGGCACCGCCCCTGGCGGCCCCCCCTGGGGTGCTGAAATCAGCGAGTCTGCTCCGAAAGCAAACAGGTTCGAGCCACCAAACAAGCAAACCACCTGTGACATCCTACTATCTCAGTGCGAGCGGGTGAATGAAACCAGCCCTGGCGGCCTGAAATCAGCAAGTAGCCCGAGACAGCCTAACAATCTGCTCCGGAAACACACAAGTCCAGGCCACCAAACAAGCGAATCCCCTGAGACATCCCCACAATCTGAATGCGAACGGGGGAGTGGCACCACCCCTGGCGGCTACCCGTTGGGGTGCTGAACTCTGCGCCTCGTCGACGTCTGTGAGTGAATATCAGTATGAGTGAGTGAGTCTGAGTGCGAGTGGATCTGAGTAAGAGTGAGTCTGAGTGTCAGTGTCAGCGGGCCTGTGTGTAACTGCATCTGAGTATGAGTGAATCTGAACGTGCGTGAGTCTGAGTACGAGTGAGTCGGAGTGTCACTAAGTCTGAGTGTGAGTGAGCCTCAGAGTGAGGAAGTGCGAGGGCCGAGTGAGTCTGAGTATGGATGGATGTGAGTCTGACTGAGTCTGAGTGGGAGTGAGACTGAGTGAGGCCGGAGAAATCGGGGGAGAGGGAGGTGTCTTGTCGTGAAGTGCGAGTCGGAGGCGTCTGAGCGAAAATAAAAATGTACCTTAGGATATGGGGGAATTTCAGAACCCGTTTCCCTCAGGATCAATTTGCCTCATTGAAGGGGCCCCAGGACACACAAATAAATACACACAAATCAAGATATTCCCCATATGTTCCCATATTTTCTGGGTTTCTGTCCTCCCCCCCACTTCCCATATTTTTCCATATTTTCTGGGGCATCGAGGATTGATTGTGTCTGTGTTTTTTCCTCTCCTGCCTCATGGCGATTGGCAGCACCCGCATGGTGCCTGCTGGCTCCAGCGCCGGTGTGCCGTGCACCTTGAACGGGCTGGGGGCCGGCGCCGCCGCTGCCTGCTCCCGCTGCGCGGGCGCGCTGTGCGTCAGGAAAGGGTCGTTCTCGGGGGTCTTGGGCGTCTGCAGTGCCTGCGGCGGCGGCGCGGGCGCCGGCGCGGGCGCCGGCGCGGGCGCCGGCGCGGGCGCGGGCGCGGGCGCCGCCGCGGCCGAGGCGCCGCCGCGGGCGCCGCCGCGGGCCGCCGCCGCGGGCGCCGCGGGCGCCGGCGGGCACCGCCGCGGGCGCCGGGCGCCGCCGCGGGCGCCGGCGCGGGCGGCGCCGCAGGCGCCGCCGCGGACACCGCCGCAGGCGCAGCTGCGGGCGGCGCCCTGGGGAGGCTCGACGCGGTCGCCCTGGCCTTCGGCGTCTGGACCTCCTGCAAGATCTGCTGGACGTCGACGGCTGCCTTGGCCTCCGCCGCTCCGGCCTCGGCCGCGTGAGCCTCCTTCTTGTGAGCCTCCGGGCGGCCTGCCCTCTGGCCGAAGCCGAAGATGCCGGGAAACCTGGAGGCGAACGACGGCGACGGCGGCGCCGCCTCGGGGGAGACAGAATGAAGGGGCCCCAGGACACACCAATAAATACACACTAATAAAACAGATTCCCCATATTTTCCCATATTTTCTGGGTTTTTGTCTCCCCCCCAATTCCCATATTTTCCCATATTTTCCTGGGAGTCGACGATTCATAGTGTCTGTGCGTTTTCTCCCCTCCTGACAGAAGAGCATCGACACCGCGACTCCGCGGACCTCTCCCCGGGTGCCCTCTGGAGGAGAGTCCACCCGTGGCGACGAGGGGCCTCCCATAGGAGGCCCAGGGGGGGCCCCGAACGAGGGAGGGGCAGCGGCATCGGCGCCCTCTCCTCCTCCGAGCCTTGGGCGGTACGCTGGGCGCGGTCTTGGGAGCCTCCGCGGGCGCCGCCGTGGCCTTGGCGGTCGCCGGCGCCCCCGCGGCGACCGCGGGGGCCGACCCCGCCACGGCAGGCTGCTGGGCGGCGTGGCCGGCCGGGACCGGGGGCACGGGCTGGCTGCCGCCGCCTGCGTGGCCCACGGGCAGCGGCGCCGCCACGGCGCTGTGGCTCTGCCTCCTCACGTGCACCGTCTCGTCCAGCAGGTCCTCGGCCAGCGCTGCCCCGCCGTGCGAGGCCTTTCGGTACACGGAATCATACTCGTGCCATGTGTCCTCCTTGGAGGCGCGCGTCCGACCCGAACAGATAGTAGACCCATCTTGTAGTAGATCGTCTCCCGAGCGGTGTGGCCAGAGAGCGCCCGCCACGGCGCCTGTAATTACTAGAAGATTTCTCCGTGCGCGCGTCGCCCCGGGGGGGGCGACGCGCGCACGGAGAAATCCTCCCTTTAGTAAAACGTGGTTTAGTGAAAACGACCTCGGGCCAAAACCTGGCGGGCACAGGCCTGGAAAATAACGGCCGCGGCGCCCTCTCGAGAACCGACAACGGACAATTCACCAATCGACGTGTCACTGTTGGGGGTTCTGTCCACCCCCGAAGTACTAGTATGTCAGGGTGACGCCGAGCCTTCGCGGCCGCGGGCGCAGCGATGGTGTGGATCTGGAACGGGCCGTCCGCGGCCTGGGACATGGCCGCAGGCAGCTGGCGCCCGCCGCTGGCATGCTGCGGCAGGCGCCTGCTGGCTTCATTGAGGCCGTGCTGCTGCGGTGCGCGGGTCGACAAACGCAGGTCGCGGTCGGCAGAGAGGCAGCGGCACGTGCACACGCCATGCACAGTACTCAGGAGGGGAATTATCCTGGCGAAGGACCCAACCATATGCAATTGTGAATAACGTTCTGTGGGTGCCGTTTTCGGTGGGGCTCCCTATGGGGCCACGAAAGGCGTGCCACGAAACGCTGTCCTGGGCGTGCGGGACGCATGCGGGCGGTAGCACCGGGGCCTTTGGTGGAGCTCCTTATGGAGCCACGAAACGCTGTCCTGGGCGTGCGGGACGCATGCGGGCGGTAGCACTGGGGCCTTCGGTGGAGCGCCCTATGGGGCCACGAAACGCTGTCCTGGGCCCTCGGCGACGAAACGTGTGAGGGGTGTGCCGAAATGGGTGCGGTGCCGCCATGCCAACGCAGCCACTGGGGCTCTCGGTGGAGCTCCCTATGGGGCCACGAAACGTGTGAGGCGTGTGCCGACATGGGGTCGGCGCCGCCATGCCAACGCAGCCACTGGGGCCCTCGGTGGGGCTCCCTACGGGGCCACGAAATGTGTGAGGGGTGTGTGCCGAAATGGGCGCGGTGCCGCCATGCCAACGCAGCCACTGGGGCCCTCGGTGGAGCTCCCTATGGGGCCACGAAATGTGTGAGGGGTGTGCCGACATGGGTGCGGTGCCGCCATGCCAGCGCAGCCACTGGGGCCCTCGGTGGAGCTCCCTATGGGGCTACGAAGCGTGGGTGACGGGGTGTGCCGAAATTGGTGCGGTGCCGCCATGCCAACGCAGCCACTGGGGCCCTCGGTGGAGCTCCCTATGGGGCCACGAAACGTGTGAGGGGTGTGCCGAAATGGGCGCGGTGCCGCCATGCCAACGCAGCCACTGGGGCCCTCGGTGGAGCTCCCTATGGGGCCACGAAACGTGTGAGGGGTGTGCCGAAATGGGTGCGGTGCCGCCATGCCACGCAGCCACTGGGGCCCTCGGTAGAGCTCCCCATGGGGCCACGAAACGTGTGAGGGGTGTGCCGAAATGGGTGCGGTGCCGCCATGCAACGCAAGATGCCCCTCGGTGGGCTCCCTATGGGGCCACGAAGCGTGTGAGGGGTGTGCCGAAATGGGTGCGGTGCCGCCATGCCAACGCAGCCACTGGGGCCCTCGGTGGAGCTCCCTATGGGGCTACGAAACGTGTGAGGGGTGTGCCGAAATTGGTGCGGTGCCGCCATGCCAACGCAGCCGCTGGGGCCCTCGGTGGAGCTCCCTATGGGGCGACGAAACGTGTGAGGGGTGTGCCGAAATGGGTGCGGTGCCGCCATGCCAACGCAGCCGCTGGGGCCCTCGGTGGGGCTCCCTACGGGGCCACGAAATGTGTGAGGGGTGTGTGCCGAAATGGGTGCGGTGCCGCCATGCCATCGCAGCCACTGGGGCCCTCGGTGGAGCTCCCTATGGGGCCACGAAGCGTGTGAGGGGTGTGCCGTGATAGTGGGAGGAGGGAGGAGGGAGGGGGGAGGAGGCGGAGGAGGAGGAAGGAAGGAAGGAAGGAGAGGAGGCGCGGGGCACCGTCTCTTCAAAACGAGGACCCAACACCACAGGATGGTTGGGAAAAAACACACAGACACAATTCATCGTCGATTCCCAGGAAAACATGGGAAAATATGGGAAGTGGGGGGACGACAAAATCCCAGAAAATATGGGAAAATATAGGGAAATATTTCTATGTGTGTGTATTTATTTGTGTCCTGGGGCCCCTTCAAGTACATGGTGGGGCCGCGGCGCATCAGGAGATCAATGAAGGCGGTGAGGTCGTGACTTCACCTTCCCTATCCACCCCATGAGAACAGACAGACCCCGAATTGTGCCACGTGGCATCGTGGGAACACTGCATGGCCACAACATCCGCGCTAGTCCACGAGCAAACGCTTCACGGCGTCGTTGGCCATCATGGGAACAAGCCTCACGCAACGTGTATCGCGGCATTATGTGATTAGTCTATTACGTTCGCAGTCAAATCTAACTCGGGCATGCTTGAGCAGACACCGACCCTTCCGAACCCGACGGCCTACGCCCTGAGCTGAGTACGCTCCCTCTCGAGGCGATCCAGAGGAACTGCTGTCCGCCATCGTGCCTGCACGATGTGGGCTCGGCATGGTGTTGCCTGGTGAGGCTTCTGCTTCCAATCGGGAGCGCGCAAACATGGATTAGCGATCCATGGATCTGGCGCGGGGTCGCCAAATCCATGGATCGGGGGAGGCACCCTTCCCAAAATGCGGCCGGTGCCGCCTCGCTCGGCGGCGGAAACCCGCGACTCCCCAGGGAAAAAAGGGACCTGTCGCTCACCCACGCCCCCTTCATCCATGTCTGCGCTCGCCCGGTCCAAAAGAACCACTCCCCCGAGCGCTAACCCACGCCCCCTTCATCCATGTCTGCGCTCGCCCGGTCCAAAAGAACCCTCCCCGAGCGCTAACCCGCGCCCCCTTCATCCATGTCTGCGATCGCCTGGTCCAGAGACCCCCCCCCGAGCGCTAACCCACGCCCCCTTCATCCATGTCTGCGCTCGCCTGGTCCAAGACCCCCCCCTGAGCGCTAACCCACGCCCCCTTTATCCATGTCTGCGATCGCCTGGTCCAAAAGAACCCCCCCACACCGCGAACACCGCTCCGTGCCGCACCGCGCCTCCCCCCGCCCGGACTCGTGGGCCACGGCACGGAGGACCCGGAGATGCAGGCGCCGCCCCAGACGTGCTCGCGCGGCCTCCTCCTCCTGCTCCTGCTCCTGCTCCTGCTCCTGCTCCTGCTCCTGCTCCTCCTCCTCCTCCTCCTCCTCCTCCTGCTCCTCCTCCTGCTGCTCCTCCTCCTCCTGCTCCTCCTCCTCCTCCTCCTCCACCTGCTCCTGCTCCTGCTCCTGCTCCTGCTCCTGCTCCTCCTCCTCCTCCTCCTCCTCCTGCTCCTCCCTCTCCTCCTCCTCCTCCTCCTCCTGCTCCTCCTCCTCCTTCTTCTCCTCCTCCTCCTCCCCCTCCTGCTCCTGCTCCTGCTCCCGAACCTCCCTGGGGCGGGACGCCGCGCCGTTCCCGGGCTCTCCCCTCGGCTCTCCGCGGCCTCCCGCACGGCCCCTAGGGAGGGAGGGCTCCCGGGCCGACCCGGAAGGCCCGGCGGCGCCCCCCCCCCAGGGAGGCCCCACGCACCCCCCCCCCCCCCCCCCCCCCCGCAGGGGGTCCCCGCGAGGCCTCGCAGACACGAAGGGGCCCTGGGACACATAATTAAACACACAGAAATAACCGGATCCCCCTATATTTTCCCATATGTTCTGGGTTCTTGTCTTCCCCCCCCGCTTCCCATATTTTCCCATATTTTCTGGGGGATCGAGGATTAATTGTGTCTGTATTGTTTTTCCCCTCCTGGAGACACCAGAGGATGAGGCAGAGGGGCCTTCCAGACAGGTCCAGGACACTCTCGAGTGCAAGCGGGGCTAGTGGGTCTTCGACCACGTTCTGTGATCCGAACCGTCCCGCTCGAGGTGGATCCAAGAAGACCTCGGAGGAGCCGCCAACAGAGCCCACTGTGGCCTCCAACAATACCCCCAGGCGGCCCAGGACAGCTCCAAGGGGGGCCCAAGACAGCCATGAGGGGCCCAGGATAGTCAAAGAGAGCTCAATATTGGTTACAGAGGACCCCAAGGAGGCGCCACGTTTGGACCGGCTGCTTGGCCACGTTTGACACATTCTCAACGTGCGAGGGCAACTCGTGAGCCGTTGGGACCATGCCTGGACATGTTCTGCATAACCCTTGGACCACCTGGCCGACGTCCGAACACTCCTTGGACGACGCTTTGGCAAAGCCTGGGACTACACTTGCACCACGTCTGTGTAGGGTTCCTGTCGAGAAGGGCAAGCGAGACAGAACTGACATATCCTCCTACTCCACCCCCTCCTTCTCCTCCTCCACCTCCTCCTCCTCCCCCTTCTTCTCCTCCACCTCCACCTCCACCTCAGCCTCCCCCTCCTCCTTCTCCTCCTCCTCCCTCTCCTCCTCCACCTCCACCTCCACCTCCACCTCCTCCTCCTCCTCCTCCTCCTCCTCCTTCTCCTCGTCGTCCTCCTGTTTCCTCATGATCATGATCATCATCATCATCATCATCATCATCATCATCATCATCATCATCATCAGCAGCAGCATCATCATCATCATCATCATCATGAGCAGCAGCAGCAGCATCATCATCTGCATCAGCATCAGCATCAGCATCAGCATCATCATCATCAGCATCATCATCATTAACAGCAGCATCATCATCAGCATCATCATCATTACCATCATCATCATCATCATCATCATCATCATCATCATCATCATCATCATCATCATCATCAGCATCATCATCATCATCATCATCACCAGCAGCAGCATCATCATCATCAGCACCAGCACCAGCATCAGCATCATCATCATCAGCAGCAGCATCAGCATCAGTATCAGCAGCATCATCATCAGCATCAAACTCAGCATCAACATCAGCATAATTATCATCATCAATCAGCAGCATCAGCATCGTCTCAATCCTGCGCCTGCTCCTCCTCCTGCTCCTGGTCCTGCTCCTGCTCCTGCTCCTCCTCCTCCTCCTTTCCTCCCTCCCTCCGTCCCCCCCTCCCCCCCTCGTCCTCCTCCTCCTCCGCCTTTTCCTCCTCCTCCCTTTCTCATCCTGAGGATGTGCGTTGGTTTCGATAAGCGCAGCCCAATAGGAGCGCAGCATGCCCACATGCAAATGGTGTGCCTTGGTTTGGGCATCCAAACGCAGCATCCCGCCAACGGTAGCTTCCTCCCTCCTTTCCTCCTCCTCCACCCACTCCGTCTCGTCATCCTCCTTATGGCACTCTCTCCTGAGCGCCGACACTCTGGACTAGGACGTGCTCTGCGCGCCACTGCTCTAGACAATCCAGCGTGTTCTAGACCCAGAAACAGCACTGCAACCAAGTTTACTACAAGTCTGCGCTTCCCCTCCTCATCATTATC